CTCCCGCACCTCGCTCAGCCAGTGAGTGGGAGCCGGTCTGTATGTGGGATCCGAACCCTCGGCGGCAGCGCAGCCGCGCTTCACAAGCGGCGCACTATCCAGTGCGCCACCGGGCCGGCCCTTTTTTTTTTTTTTTTAATGGTCAGGATTCACAGCGCCAAAACGGTTAGTAGATTCTGTGAAATCCTGCTCTGCTGAAGCTGTCCTGATTTTTTGCTAGAATTTTATCATGAATATCTTTCTCAAAATTATTGCAGACTACAGCTCTGTCCTTCCCTGTAGTTTATTGACTTTTGTAGTTAGTCCAAAATTTTACAGAGAGCTTTAAGAATGTAAAAATATGAAAACTTCTTGTAAAAGCGTTTTGCATTTACAGATTAAACTGATGGGTGAAGTTGCAAGTTAGATTTTATTTAAAAGTTGTAACTGATAAAGTAATTCAACTCTAATAAGAAAGTGATGAAGGGAAAGAAAGTATAGAAAATGGTCTTTTTAATAGACTTTTAAATATCTAAAGGTCCTCAAGCATACTCGTATGTGTATTGGAGCACTTGAAACTGTTGTTGTGTTTCCCCCCTTTCCTTCATAGATGGAAGAAATGCCCTCAGAATCGGAGAAACTTTACTCATTTTATGATCTGGAGTCAAGTAAGTGATTGTCTATCAGCATCTTTAAAAAAAGCTCCTATTATGTGAGAGAAACCTAATAAAACTTTTCGTTTTTATATACAATGGATGCATTAGTTTATTTAATCTATTATAGGTTAGCTTTGGCCATATAGGACTTTGTAAAGGGCTGTAAAGATGCCCAGGGTAGGCAGTCCAGCTGACAAAATAATTTTTCTCCTGTTTCTCCCTCTTTCTTTCCCTTCTTCCCTCTCTTGGTTTCCTTTCTTGGTTTCTTTCTGATTTCAGGGGAGAGTGATGTGTAGTGAATAGACAGGTTCCAGGGAGCTTTTATGGTCACTGGTCCTGTTGATGTTTAAGTAGAAGGTATGGATGACTTAGACTCCAGGAGAGTATTTGAGGCTATTCTCCTAACTACCAGCTACTTGGGGTGACTGGAAGCCTTTCCAGATTTGACTGTTAGTCAGATCTAGGGCTTGTTTTGCTTTTGTATTGGCACAGATTCTCTTTATTGAGGTAAAAAATGACTTCGACCGCAAACTAGCCAGAGCTCCTAGAGTAAATTTGCTACACAGTTTAATATTTCTGGATGGAGACAAATAAGGTGATCTAATACAGATTTATGGTTATGGGGTCCTAAGTACCAGTGGTAGTAAAATATTATTCAAGAAATCATTGGATTAATTATTCTGTTGAACAAATAATTTAAAGGAAATATGTAGACCTGACATGAACAACAGAGTTATGCTGTAGTTCAACTTGATGTATCTTTTCAAGTGTTCTTTTTTTTTTTTTTTTTTTCCCTTTTTTGTCTTTTTTACTGACCGGTAACGGGATTGCAACCCTCAGTGTCGCGCCCGTACCGGGACCGGCAACGGGATCTCAACCCTCAGTGTTGCACCCACACCGCGCTCAGCCAGTGAGCGGGAACCGGTCTCCACATGGGATCCGAACCCTCGGTGGGAGCGCCGCCGCGCTCCCAAGCGGCGCACTCTCCAGTGCGCCACCAGGCCGGCCCTCAAGTTTTAATAGAGACTAATTTGTCACTTTTTTCTTGTTATATCACTGCTAGGCAATTAACATCTCTTAGAGTGAGTTTTACTATTAACATTAGCCCTGCACAAACAGCAGTGTCATACACACCGCCTTAAGTGAAATGCTCTCAATATTCTTAATTCACTCTTAGCCTTAATACCCCATTTGTGGTATAATTTAAACTGATTGTTAAGGGGGGTAATATTGGCTTTGGAACTATCTCCTTCTGTTTGGGCTGAATAGCACCATATCTTGTTTATTTAACCTGGACATAACGTGAAGCTGAGATTTTTTTGGTTGACTCATGTTTTCTTCATGATGTCTTTTCCGTATGAAAAATTTCACCTATTTGAACTATATCTGAACTTTTTCGTTCTTATTTTCTCTTTTTTTGCCTTTGAGAGGATGCTGCTTATGAGTTAGTCATCAAATTATTTCATGGACAAGTCTGCTAAAATTCACTGGCTTAATAAGAATTTATGATGGTTTGAATGTAGGTACAGAATGATGTGAAAATCTAGTAACGTGCAACCATACAGATTTTGGTTTTAATACTTTTTTATCTGTATGTGCATTTATTTTTTTGATAGGTGTTTGATGTCTTACATTGTAGATAAAGTTTAATTTAATTTGATAATGTATGTATTACGATGGTAGTTGTCAAAAAATAAAAGATGGCAGAATTTAATTGATAATGTATGTACTATAACTGTAGTTGTCAAAAAATAAAAAGATGTATTTGTTCTCTGTCAGAATGGAGTGAAAGGCAGGAAATATCTGGTTTAATAGCCAGCACTGAAGAGCTGAAAATTATCCAATAAAAGTTCACTTTGTGATTGTGCTATTTATTTTCTCTTTAAAAAAGATATTAACAAACTGACTGAAGATAAGAAAGAAGGCCTCAGGCAACTTGCCATGACATTTCAACATTTCATGCGAGAAGAAATACAGGATACTTCTCAGCTACCATCTTCCTTTGATATTTTTGAAGCCTTTGCAAAAGTAAGTGTTAAGTTTTGTATCTTTAGTAATGCTGTAAACTAATCCTTTATTCTTTATTTTATTGCTGGTTGCAAAAAAGTCTAGAACCTTGATGGGAAATCCCACGACTCTTAATGCCTTATTTCACTCCCCTACCTTAATGAGTAGAGAACGAATGTATTGTGTATATTGGAAAGGGTATTACTTTTTCTGGTCTATCAGTGTTCTTACTATGGCCTGAGTATGTTCATTGTCAACTCTCAAAGCATAGTCTTGGAAGAAAGAGTATGCTTTCTTTTCTCAAAAGAAAACAGCATATCTGATTACTTCTCAATAAGGGATTTAGGTTTGCTATTGCATTCACTGAGTTTTGTGGTGGTAGTTTTAGGATAGAGTCTATCTGTGAAGTGAAAAATTCATTGGAATTCATCTGTGATTAAGTGAATTCTAAGGTATATGAAAGCATAACCATTTCTGATTTAAAAATAACTACCTAAAAATCTGTTTAAATGTTTCAGGTTATTAAAATGTCAGATTATGGATAGAAAGCAGGTTTAATGTAATATTTCATTTGTGGCCTGTTGGTAATAGCTACCTGAAGTGTCCTTTTTGAAAATAATTCTGCAGGTTTGTCTTGGCTGGGGGAGGAAGAGCGCAGTGCTTGAGTCTTGTTATCTACCCTGGGATACATTCGACGGGGCAGGTGCACTCCCCTCAGTGCTGTGGATCTACTATCCCTGCTCTCTCATATTGTGTGTTTGGGTTTCTTTAATATTGATCACATTTGAATATCAAGTAAAATTTTACATTTGGAAGTGATTTTGCCATTTATTTTGTAATTCATAAGCATACATTTATTTATTTAAAAAAGATGACCAGTAAGGGGATCTCAGCCCTTGGCTTGGTGTTGTCAGCACCACGCTCAGCCAGTGAGCAAACCGGCCATCCCTATATGGGATCCGAACCCATGGCCTTGGTGTTATCAGCACCGCACTCTCCCGAGTGAGCCACGGGCTGGCCCTCGTAAGCAAACATTTAATAACATAATTATCCCTTGAATATTTTAAGATACGTTTTTTAATCACCTATTTTCTAAGAATTTAAATGTGATTAGTTTGATTGCTAGAGGTTTATCCTAGTTTTTCCCAAATGTATTTTTATTCTTTTAGGTATGTTTTTATGATTGTCTGCTAATATGATCTTAACATTATATTCTGGTTTGTGTACAATTTAAAATTTACTTCAAAATATAGTGGTTACTTGTAATGCATTTGAGAAGTTTCTCATATGTTCATTTCATATGCTTCTGAAAATTATAACCTATAGTAGTACCATGTGTATAATGCACATAGCCTCTCTTGATGTTAAACACTGTAAAAACTAACGCCTACTGAAAAATAAACATACCTTCTGCTGACTGTTACTTCATTCTTAGTGTGGCTGTCCACTGATGATTATTTCTATTGTTGGAACTTTTGTAATTCATAAGCATACATTTATTTATTTAAAAAAGATGACCAGTAAGGGGATCTCAGCCCTTGGCTTGGTGTTGTCAGCACCACGCTCAGCCAGTGAGCAAACCGGCCATCCCTATATGGGATCCGAACCCATGGCCTTGGTGTTATCAGCACCGCACTCTCCCGAGTGAGCCACGGGCTGGCCCTCGTAAGCAAACATTTAATAACATAATTATCCCTTGAATATTTTAAGATACGTTTTTTAATCACCTATTTTCTAAGAATTTAAATGTGATTAGTTTGATTGCTAGAGGTTTATCCTAGTTTTTCCCAAATGTATTTTTATTCTTTTAGGTATGTTTTTATGATTGTCTGCTAATATGATCTTAACATTATATTCTGGTTTGTGTACAATTTAAAATTTACTTCAAAATATAGTGGTTACTTGTAATGCATTTGAGAAGTTTCTCATATGTTCATTTCATATGCTTCTGAAAATTATAACCTATAGTAGTACCATGTGTATAATGCACATAGCCTCTCTTGATGTTAAACACTGTAAAAACTAACACCTACTGAAAAATAAACATACCTTCTGCTGACTGTTACTTCATTCTTAGTGTGGCTGTCCACTGATGATTATTTCTATTGTTGGAAGATGTTCAAGTTCTAATTACTGTTGTTATTAATATTCATGGAAAATATTTTAAAATACTTTCCATTGCTAAACGTAAAATGTGAATTACTACCTTATTTCTCATTTCTTTTTAAATAATTTAAATCTCATGTATCTTATAATGGCAGTTTATATTTTGAACACTCTAGAGTTTCTGGTGGAGAAATAGTGTGTCTCTCCTGTTGGACCAGATTAGTGCCAAATTTGCTTCTGCTGCTTAAGTCTGGGTTTTACTTGAAAAACTTCCCGTGTTATTCCAAAGACATTACATGTTGCCATTTTCTACATTGTATTCCCAAGTGTTCCTCCTTTTTACCCACCTCTTAGCACCAGTATTAGTCTCCTGTTCCCCACCCCCACGTGAACACATACACAAACAGCAATTGGGGTTTAGATTGTAGGAGTCTGCTGTATAAATATATCCTGTCCACTTACAAATTTGGTGCCTGGCTGTAAAAATTAAGTAACATGAGATGTAAGAAGGAGCAATTTTTCTAGGGGTGTGTGTCAAGGAGGATCTCACATTGGAAGTAGAAATTGACATGAGCGTCAGAAGAGAGGATGGCTTTGGGAAAGTTAGTACACACAATTGTCCAGAAATGCTGGTGCGGAGTGAAGGGGTACTGACTCCTCAAACCCCCTGAGCTGGAGAAGGTTTGAAAAGGGTTACCTGTGGAATACACGTTTCAGCTTTATTTAGTAATTACTATGAGGGTTTGAATAAAAGCTTGGTGTTTAAAACGTTTTGCACCAGGTGGTAACAGGAAATGAAGGAGGTTAGTGGTGCCTCCAGAATTTCTGTAGAGGAGGGGCTGGCCAGGGAGGATCTGGCAGATGGGGAAGGTGGAGCTAGTTACTTGCAGCTTTCTTTGCGTAGTAGTTGTTTTGTTTTGTTTTTTAAAACTGAGATCGTATGTCGCTTGGAGGTGTGTGGCTGAATGGAAATAGAAGTATAAGGTGTGAGGAATGGAAGGTGGTGAATGGTGCTGACAGCAATGAAGGTGGCCAAAGCATGGATGTGCACTGGAGATGTTTGTGAGTGAGGGCACAGCAGATGTGATTATTTATATGCTTGTGAAAAATAAGGGCCCGGTTTATTCTGCTGGCTCTTTTTCCCCATTGTTTAGAGAAGAGAAAATGAATGTCTCCATCTCTGCCAGCCTTTGCTCCTTCCCACCCCACGCTTTAGTTGCTTCCACTTTCATCTTCAAAATACCCGGTTTGGTTTTGAAATGGATTTATTTTGGCATGACAACTACTACATTCTGTCTGCTGATTGGGTCTTAAACAGTTGCTGCAAATGTAGAAAATGTGTTTACTACTGATCAGAAATATCAACTTTAATTGGTCAGAAAATTGCAGTTAGAAAGAGGACAATTTAAATTGGAGGCCAAATAGTATGTTGGTTAAGTCGCTTTCTCCAGACAAGTAGATGAACTTCTCTCAGTCTCTATGTCCTCATCTGTAAGTGGGAATACTGATATGATCTACTTCCTAGATAAAAGCGAGGATTACCTATAAGGTGCTTAGTAGAATGTCGGACACGTATTATTAATTTCTCCTACCGTTGCCTCCACTTCTCACCTTTATTTGTATGCCAGTATAAAATTTCAGGGTTTTTTTGTTTCCTTGTGCTGCCATATAGCCAACCAGAGTCACAGATGGTTGCTTACATTTGTAACCAGTGCTGGTGTCTCTCAAGATGCTGAGAATTACCTGTATTGTTGAGAAGAAATTTTGCAAACAGGAAATAGTGTCTTTCCCCTAGCAACTGGCTTGGGTTTAGCTCAGAGCTCTGTGGACAGAAATCATTTACTATTGCCTGCATTCATAGCAACTCCATGACTTCAGAGTAGCTTCTTGGGTTTTCACATAGGAAGTGTAAAAGTAGGTTTTTGCAAACAGGAAATAGTGTCTTTCCCCTAGCAACTGGCTTGGGTTTAGCTCAGAGCTCTTGTGGACAGAAATCATTTACTATTGCCTGCATTCATAGCAACTCCATGACTTCACAGTAGCTTCTTGGGTTTTCACATAGGAAGTGTAAAAGTAGGCTTCCTATGATGAATGAAATCTTTCTCACACATGCATCTTAACGGGATGAAATTAAATTATGAGCGCTTTAGTTGTCATGTATTAATTCATTGAAATGATATGGAATGTATAGTATTTCCCTATTCCATCCCAAGGGACATATGTTAATGATTATTGGCAGTGGTTATTAATAGCCTAAACGATTTGAGTAGAACTGGGTTTGAGATTATTTTCTATGCACAGAAAAGATTTTGTTGGGTTTATTGTATAGGGTACTAGAAGAACATACTTGACTGTTTTTTCTGGACGTAGAACTTTTTCGAAAAATGCATTTGACAGACTGATTAGAAATGTGATAAGATCTGAGCAATAAAATAGAGAATAGACTAGTTGCATAGAACGTTTCAAAAACAGACATTAAACTGGAAGCAACAAGAATAAAAGTGACCTTCCTAACCACAAAACATTTATCATTGTTAGTGTTTCCAGAGCTCTGCAAATTACTGTTTAACTTTATAATGTGCAACTGCCACAGAATTTTTTTATTAGAAATTTCACATCTGTTTGAGAAGATGTTTCCTCCCGTTTTCTTTTCAAACAAAGTAATAATTCTTCTGGTAGTATTTTATTTTTATTCTTTAGGGCACATATGTGACCTCCAGATCTTGCCTTTCCAAAATCTAATTTTTAGTGCTATTAGCTGCAGCTGGTTTTGCAATACTGTGGTTGTATAGATTTGAAGGTAAGGATTTTAGGTATTTTTGTACTATGATACTTAAATTTTACATTCAATTTCATTCTGAGAAAATTCTTTTTTTATTGGGGGAGAATTCTTTCTTTTTTTAATTGGAGAAACAGTGGAGAATGTGATGAAACATGAATCTTGCTAATTCATAATCTGAAAATAAATAGTGATTTAATATTTTGAGGCATGCTCAAAATAAGCAAAAGAAAATAATAATGATATTACATTCAAGAGTACATACTTGCATTTGGCTGGTATGTGTCTTCAGACTTAGAGTGTTAATGAATAATACATGTGATATGCTGCCATAACTTCATAATTCTAGTAAAGTGTATAAATCAGCATGGAGAAAAAATGACTAACCCTTTCTTGTGTCCTTTTTTTCCCCTCTGGACAACAGTATACTTCTGTAAAAAGCAAGAACAGAGTTGATCATGATATATTCAGTTTTTAATCTTAAATTTTCAATTCTATTACCCATCTCATTGTGGATCTGCTGGTGCTGTATTACTTCACTGCTGCTGGTTGGCTAGTTTGTAGGATGAATATTACCTCTGTTGTGGTTTTGAAAGGTCAAGAGTATGTGCGTTTGCTGCTTGGGAGTTTTAAGTTCACATAGGACCAAATTTTAGAGCCTTTTTGTTGATGAGCTCAGTTGGGTTTCACTACTGTACATGCTATAAAGTAGTAAAGAAAGCAATCTTTTGAATTAATAAAGTGATGGATTATCTAATTACGAAGTTGATGTGAAATGGCAGTATGATAACTTTGACTGCATTACTAAGTGATCCCAGTGACTGTTCAGGAGTGCCTGGATTCCATTAAGGAAACATATGCCATTAAATATTTAATACTACCAGCAAGCAGACACACCAGGATTGCTAACCTCCAATCACCCGGGTGCATATATCTATATGTTTGGCAGTAACTGCTAGATGAGACATCTCTTTAGTCTG